TAAATTCACCTGTTTTTATGTTAAATCTATTAAAATCAGTGGGGGTTGTTCCCATACTAAGGAGTGTATCTTTTGCTGTTATCCCCAGCGTTGTCCCTCTTTTGCATATCTGGAGATGCTCTAACTTGTCCGGCAACTGTACAGTTGTATGTTTTTTTCATTTCCCATCAGCGAATAAATTATACAGAATAAATTAAGCAGATCCAGATCTGGTGCTGATGGTCGGCATTCATGCACAGCATGGACGTGAAACATGATGCAGAGGTCAGCTGGAAGGCAAATATACAGTAAACGCAGTAACATGTGTAGAACAATGACAGGTGTCTTGATCGGGGCGATCGCCAGCCCTCTGCAGAGAGGAGCTGCTGTTACTGAAACTGAGTATAATTGTGAAGCTGAGTGTAATTCGGCTAATTAGCTTGTTAGGGCCTTGTGTAGCCATGTGAAATGAATTAAGAAATGTTCCTAGCTTGTGCTGATAGCCAGTTTGCCTTTTTAGTGTCGTCATCCTCACAATGTTGCAGGGTTGGGGCCATTCAGGAATGCATTCGTCAATTCCAATCCAAATCAGAAAATGGAACTGGAGTTGGAATTTAAATCTCCCTGAAATTCGAATTCAATTCCAATTCTGTTCTCCATAGTTTTTTTTCCAATCCCAACTCCAGTTCCATTTCCTGATTTGGACTGGAATTGATGAATGCATTCCGGAATGGCCCCAACCCTCACAATGTTGCATACTTGAATAATGAAATCTCTGACTGAAACACTGCTGTCCTGCGGCTTCATTTCCCCCCTCGTGCTAGACTGCTATCCATCACTCGCCACAGCAATTTAAAGAAGCTGAGGATATTTTCTTGTGGGGAGGTAACTAGTTCTCAGGAGAAAACTAGGCTCAACTGAGTTTTGGCTTGGCAAAGACACACCTCAGGCCAGCTGTTAGGGGGACTGCCCAAAGCAAATGGGTGCCGCACAGTCTGAGACCCAGTGAGTAAGTTATCTTAAGATAATTACGCTACCTTACTCGCCACTGTTCCACGACCAAGGTGGCCTACACGGAATTCTCCCGATTCTCCTGATTTACCGCTCCAACAATGAAGACTATGGTAAGCACTGCAAACAGCATTATGGGATTCTGGGAAATCCACAGGCAAGTAGTCCGTGGCATTTGGCCATAAAGGGAATGACATTGTGATATGCCATTGACCTTGGAGAATAATGGTGTGGATGATGATCCTGAGGAGGCCTAGGTATGAACATAACTGCAGACTGTACCAAAACGCAGGGGTGCTCCCATCCTCCCCTTGGTTTAAGGGAGACTCCAGACCCAGAGCAAGGCAAGAGACCCCCCCCCCCTCCTGTGCTTCCTCTGGCATTCAGACACTGGTCATATGATACATGTTTGGAAAGGAATGAATGGTTATGATGCAGGAGTTCTGCCATTTAAAGAGTAAATAATCTATTTATTAACAATGATGACTCTATACTTTGGGAATAGGAGCTGCACAGCTTAAAAGGATTTATTTCTATTTGTACAACTTGCACTGAAACTTGTAGGGATTTAGAAATATATTTTAAAAATATTAATTTGACTGCTTCATATTTCTTCAAAAAAGTATTTAGCCTTAAACACTTTCAATTCCGTTAGTTTTCCCTTCTGATCTGCAAAGCTTTGAGCACTATGTCAAATAAAAAGACAACTCAAAAAATCAGGAGTTCACTGATACTGACACATGTCCTGGTACTCATTGTCGGGTGATATGCTGATGTCATAATGGGTGAGTGTAACACTTTCTGAGGTGGTATGTAGAATAAAAAGTTTGTGAACTACTGATTTAGAACTTTTAGAGTGATGTGCTTTTAAATCATAAAATATCAAATGATCCATCGTTTCCCAAAGTCTACAAAACATTGATCAGCAATGCTATAATCAGTCAGCATTGCAGCCCCCACCCAACACTCAGTTAGCAAGTCTTTGCAAGTTGTCTGTATATTTTTTGGACTTTCATCTTCAAAAAAATTGTGCCCTGCTTTGTGTTGCAGTTGGGTGGCGAGTTTATCCCAATATTTTTAACTTAAAATATTGCAAATTGTTTTTTAGACATCCTAATTGGTATCATTATATCGATGAGTACCAGAAAGCGAGCACTGGTACTCATACTCAATCTGAAAAAAATGGTATCCGTCCATCCCTTCCAAAAAACAACAATACATTGTTGAAAAGGAAAAAAAAAAGAAATCATACGATTAAAAAAGGATTTAGGATTATTACCACAGAAAGTCACGCAATTTGTTGATGCATTCCAACTGGGTCAGCAATTTGTGGGTCACCTACTTTAACCTACAGGGATGAAAACCCTCCATCTGTGTCATTTCATACACGGGCACGGACCGAGTAAGCAGAGGCAGGACTTCAGGAATCAGGGAAACACAAGGTTTAATGAAGGATGGAAAACAGGCAGAACCACACAATGATGCTAGTAATATCAATACATAGGACTAATCAACAACAAGGAGAAACAGCTGGTAAACACAGGGATTCCACAAGAGGTATATGAGGGGGCGTGGCACACGGGAGGATCGGACAAGCAGGGCATAACACTCTGCAAGGTCCCATCATAATATAGAGGCTTTTACAGGAAGTGGTTCAAAATGAACACCAAGAGCGTTCCAAGCAAGTTAAGGATGTGATTACAGACAAGCATGTATCTGGGGAAGGATACAAAGATCTCAAAAGCACTGAAGATTCCACAGAGCTCAGTGCAGTCCATCATATGAAAGATGAAAATATATGAAACTACTACCATTCTGCCTAGAACGGGCCTCCCCACTAAACTGAGTGGCCGGACAAGAGCAGCTACCATAAGGCTAACTTTGACTCTGGAGGACTTACAGAAGTGTGTGGCTGCAATGCGAGGTGATGTTCATGCATCAACCATCTCTTAGGTATTCCATAAAAAGGCCCAAACAACATCTCTGAATGAAAAGTCCTGAATGAAGTCCTGTGCCCCTCTGCCAAAAAAAATTTAAACTGGGTAGAAGATTTGTCCTTCAACAGGATAAAGATCTAAAACATACAGTGAAAGCAACACAGGACTGCCTTTAAATGACAAAAATGTCCTTGTGTGACCCAGTCAATGTCCGGACCTTAACCTCATTGAAAATCTATGGCATGACCTCAAAATTGTTTTTTATGGCTGTTCCCCAGCTAACTTGACACAGCATGTGCAATTTTGTAAGGAGGAATGGGCAAATATTGTTTCACCACAGTGTGCAAAGCTAATTGAGACTTGGTTCAGCCAAGTACTGACCTCAGGAGATGGGTACTTAATAATAACATGCTGGTTTTTTAATGTTTATTATTTTGTTGTTTTTTTATTTAATTTTGTGGGCATTCTGTGTATAACATACTGTGGAAATAATACATTTTCAGTTTAATGCATCACAATCCATGACTTTGAGACCCTTTAATGTGAGGAAAGTGTTGGGGACTGAATGCTTTTCCAGGCCACCCTATATGTGGATATCCCGTTACATAAGAGTGAAAGGGGGTGATGTGGGATCACTGTGGAATCTCACGCCTTCCAGCTGGACTGCTTCCCTCCCCTGATAGTGTTAGTGTGGCTCCTACTCCATGTTCACATGGATGGTTGCTTATCCAGTGCATGGTGACAGAAAGTCCACAACCTAAAACTGTACACTGACTAACAGTAACGTTCTGTCCTGCCTGTTACAGACCTTTGCCCTATAGTTCAGCACACAATCAGAAGAATCCCTCACAAAGTGTAGAGTACTTTGGTTTGGGGAGTACTTTGGTATTACATAGAGACAGTTTAATGCTAAATGACAGTATATCTTCCAATTTGGGGAGTACTTTGGTATCCTTTACATAGAGACAGTTTAATGCTAAATGACAGTCTACCTTCCCATTTTGGGCAGTACTTTGGTATCCTTTACATTGAGACAGTTTAATGCTAAATGACAGTCTACCTTCCCATTTTGGGCAGTACTTTGGTATCCTTTACATTGAGACAGTTTAATGCTAAATGACAGTCTACCTTCCCATTTTGGGCAGTACTTTGGTATCCTTTACATTGAGACAGTTTAATGCTAAATGACAGTCTACCTTCCCATTTTGGGGGATATTTTGCAACAAACAATGTGTCTTGACTTTTAGAAAATACTGCATAGAAAAGTAATAAGGAAGAGGTTTTGGATCACAATAAGTCACATTATACTGGGGATTCTTAATAAGGGACAGGCAAAGATAATTACCACAGATCAGCGTAGTCACCTGATGACCAACCCTGGTACTGCGCCTAATTACTTCCCTGTACTGAGGGGTTTTTGTCTGTCTGGAACTATGACCTTTGTCTTCGGCTCTAAGCTGTCGTTAACGAGATGCGTGTGGCTTTGGGGATATCTAACACGTGGGACATTACTGAAGATTTTCCCAAATAGCAAATGATAAAGAGTTCATTCATGTTGATTTAATCTTTATACAGACGCTCCTCATTTTAGGACCTACCTGCTTAACGACCACCTGGACGTCCGATCAGCTCTCCAACCGGTCGGTATTGTACACTGTACGAGAACTTTGGTCGTGGAAATGGGAACGTGGCGTCTCAGCATCAAGCATCTCATCTTGCATCACCTTTCTCAGTTCTCGTTCCTGCAGTTGCTCAGTATTCACTACACTAGTGTTCGCAATCTCCAAGACTACATATTTCGCCTATAATTCATACTTTATTGCGCAATGTATATAACATTTGATTTCCTCTATTCTGTTTATTACGGTATACAGTTCACTACTGTATAAACATTTATAAATGTGCAAATTGATATAAATGGTGCAAACAATATCTAAAGATGGTTGACGCAATCCCACTACCTGTATATGTACCACTATACTGTATATTTGGTAAAGGGCAGCTTAACGACCTAGTCGTAGGAACGGGACTCGGTCATTAAGTGAGGAGTGTCTGTACTCATGCGAATGAAAATATAAATTTGTATGAAAATACAAATTTCACAGAGTTTTATTAAAGTGTGAAGTACATGTTTGAACAATGAAACTTCTTTCTGTAAGGGTAATGTAACATACATTGATTTGTCTTATTGTAAAATGTTGTAAATACAAAGCAATGCCCTTGTGTTCCTCTTACAGTAGGAGTTTTGAGAAAGTGACCTGGTTTACACAGTATAATGATGCAAAATCTGGAGTAGTTACAGGCACTGGATCCCAGTAACATTATGAGGAACTGACTTCATTTTTGGGAGGGGCATGGTATGAAAATGAAAATTAAAGATGGTCATTTTAGCATCAGTACAGGCACAGAAAGACAAAACCATGCAAGACAACTGGACCCTGATTACAGAATTTCATCAGGTGGTGACACAAGATCTACTTTCTTTTTCAACCTTTCAACATAAAGTAAACATCAGAAAAAAAGATATCTAAGGAAATAAAAATCAAAACTCAGTAATTCATTTAGACTAAAAGCCAAAGTTAAGGAGCAAATTATTAAAATGTGACATTCATCAGCTGATGTTTCAGCTCAGTTACTCCGCAGAGTAGCCATATCACAGCTGGGCCCTTGAACTAGGCCTTTACCCCCCTGACCCTGTGGGCAGACCCCAAGCTTCACTCACACCTCTATAAGTGTGTGTACATCATTAAATAAGGAGAGCATGATGGGATATGTGACAAAACACACTCCAGTGTATCTGTTCTCACACTCCTACAGAAGGCAAATGAAGCTTCATTTGACTGCATTTCATTTCATTAGGCTGTGCTGCTGCCCAAATGGGCCACCAGCTCCATGATGATCGTCTGCAGCGTGTGGGACTTCTTCCTGCTGACTGCAAGCACTTCCTCTTGTGTAACTACCTGCTGGTCCTCGTAGTCCATGGCCACTTTATTGGTGATGAGGGAGAGGCCAAAGACCTTCATGCCACAGTGACTGGCGATCAGCACTTCTGGTACTGTGCTCATGCCTGCAGTAGGGAAAGGAGCGGTTACAGCATGTTACATACAATAATATGGCCCTGATATACCAAAACAGCAGAGAGGGTGGGAATGTGAGCACATTTCTTTTAAGATTCTCTGTAGACCTAAATGCCTCAGCGCTAATCATTGAAACAGAGATAATGGATTCTTGGTCTGATGAGGTAGGTCCTCCGTATAGTTTTGGAAAAACTCACCTTGCCCAAAAGTAATGAATGTGATTTTAGGACAAAAAGTATAGTAACTTCTGTTTCAGAGATTCAAAAATATGGAGAATATTGACTGAGAAGTGAAGAAAATAAACATATAATGCTCTGACCATTTCTACAAATTAAAAAAAACTGGTACCTACCCTACGATTATTACTTATAGCCCTTGTGTCTCACAATGTGCTCTTTGAGACATGTTTTCCCATCTACGGTTAAATGTTTGATGACTACCTTACGTATCTCTCAGATACATACGGTAACATGCATACACCATGTTTACAAAAGTGGAACTACTTAACCATAGACAGGTAAACATGTCCAAAGAGCACATACACACACACACATACACACACACACACATATATATATATATATATATATATATACAGCTCTGGAAAAAATTAAGAAGACCACTCCAGTTTTTTAAGAAACTGCATTGTTAAATAGGGAAGAAGCAATCGGGACTGTCAAAAGGAATGGGAAACAGTAAGTGCATGGTTAGGACAGTTCATATCAGGCTCTCTCTCTCTATATACTGTATACTGTATATATATATATATATATACACACACACACACACACACACACAGTGGTGCCTGCGGTTCAGGAACGCTGTGGTCTACGTACAATTTGGTTCACGACCAAAAATTTTGTTAAAAAAATGCATTGATTTGCGTACAAAATTTGGTTGACGAACAGATTCCTCGATTAGATTTCTTTTTTTATATTACTGTAGCACCAGCATGCCCCAGCATGCCCCAGCATGCCCCAGCATGCCCCAGCATGTCCCGCGTGCAATTGTAAATAGAAGGACCACGACCACGGCACCCAAAGAGCACTGAACCCAAATACACAGACGGGAAACACAAGGTTGTAAGGTGCCAAGCTGCAGCATGCACACACGGTGGAAGATCTACACACGCTAAATACACGCGAGGATCAGACCAGGTACACACAAGACACGGGCAAACACACACGCGACTATAGGGAAAAGCAACCATTAACATTAACACTGACAACAATTCAAGGCTTAAGGACTGTGTATAGAGCGTGATTTCCCCAGCAAGAAAGTCTCCATGTCTCTCTCTGCTCCCGCGATGCCTCAGTCCGCCCATCGCCGCACTATATTGTGTTTTTCTTTATAGTTTTTACTATAAAAACCAGAAAACTAATTGACAAAAATTATTATTTGGTAGGCTTGTGAACAAATTAATTGAATTTCAATGCTTTCTTATGGTGAAAATTGCCTTGATTCGCATACAAATTGGTTCACGACCACTTTCCTTGAACACACACACACACACACACACACACACACACATATATATATATATATATATATATATATATATATATATATATATATATACACAATCTGTTGCTATATTATCAAATATTATCCCGACAGTAAAGAACAGGAACCGAGCAGGGCAGGAGGGCCTTGTTCCCGATAGTAAGAGAACAGGAACCGATCATGTAGCTGATACTTATTTTTACTCTTTTCTGGGAACAGGCACACACACTAACTAGAGTAAATGTCAATGTATGTGGTAGTCACGTAGGTGGAAAAGTACAGAGAAGGGGGGGCCACACCCCAAAAGGCCTATAAAGACCTAGAGCCGACACCTATGGTTCGAGCTTCTTCCTGTACATGCTGAATGTATGTCAGATAGTTGCTCCCAGATTGCAATCTGTTAGGGAATAAACTGGTGACCTGCAACCACTCCTCGACTGTGCAGTGAATCTCTTCTCATCAACGGACTCTGGCGGAGTGGTGACTCCAACAATAGCCAAGCAAGGCTCTTAACCCCCTACTGCTCCAGTGATCCTGCATTCTCAAAAAGTACGTCACTCTGGGAAAAAGCCGCTTACCCACAGCATCCACCCCCAGCCGTTGCAGCAGGCGGGCCTCAGCAATGGTCTCAAAGTTGGGTCCCCCTACCATACAGTAGACTCCTTCCTGCACATGGTCTGATATGGCCAGCTTCTTGCCTAAATCCCAGGCCAGACGACGCAGGTCCTTATCATAAGCAGCACCCATGACAGGGAAACGGGGGCCGAACCTGATGTGCGGGGGTGAGAGTGACAGTGGCAGGTGAGTAAAAGGTCCTTCCTAAGAATCAGCAGATGTTACATATTGGTGGCACCATGGTGTCAAAGTAATCCACTATTCACAGCCAGCACAGTCACATAGCTGAAAAACATTACATTCATTCATCAGATGTTTTTGTCCAAAGAGATGCATAGTGTCTCTGGAGAAATTTGTGGTTAAGGACGTCGCTCAAGGGCCCAACGGTGACATCACCCTGTCAGCCACAAGATTAGAACCCACAACCTTCCGAGCCAAACACCACCCCATGATACACAGAGACAGTTGACCTTTCGTCATTGGGTCCGTTCAGGGGATTAAACCCGCCGAGGCCTGGAATGTTAATATGGTCGCGGATGATCATGATGTCCCCGGTCTTGTAGCTGCTGGCCAGGGATCCTGCAGCGTTAGTGACAATCAGGGTCTCCACCCCCAGCAGCTTGAAGACCCGCACAGGGAAGGTGACCTGCATGATGTGGAAGAACAGAACGTGCCTGATGTGAGCTGGTAAGAGGAGGGCAGAGGACCTGCTGATTTATACAGCAGGACAGCAGTGGGTTGTACTGATATGCTGTCAATGAAAAAGGCCACATCGATGCACATCATTTTTAGATTTTTAAAAATTTGTTGCATGGTATGGGGGCTGGAGGCTATGCCAGGCAACTCAGGGTACATGACCAGGGTCAACAGTCAGCAGAAGGAGGGATGGATCATTACTCCATTGTAGTCATGAGTTACTTATAAGTTCAATCAACTTTACAAGTAACCCTGACCTAAGCTGAACTTAGCAGTTTACATGTCTGCATGCCTACTTGTCCTCTGCAGGGCCAGGTGAGCCGCTCAGCATAAATATGAAATTTCCTGAGCGCTACCCCTGCAACACTCACATCCAGCAGTGGGGTTGTGGATGTTTGCTTAGGCTCGCTGATGTCCCTCATGGAACATATGACTTCTGCCAATGAAACCTCTGAGATCAGGTTTATACTTAAATTTTTTGCAAACATCTACAGGTAGGACTGTAAAATATATATGTATGTTTATACCTGTGATCTGTGTCCATAGAGGTTTTTGTACTGGTACTTGATAAATACTCTGTTCCTGAATGGCCTTTATCCTTAGATAACATCCTTTTTTTTGGATGCGCTTCAAACTTTTTTGTACTCTGTTGTTTTTTGTAGGCAATTTCCTCCACTTCAACCACAGTATATAATGTACTGTACACAAACATCCCTGAATGTGACTTCTGAAACTAATTGCTGATTGTACAGATTAAAACTGCAAGAGGTGACACAACCCGTTTAAGTAAGGCTGTCTGCATGTGACACGCCGGGGGATTTAATGGACTCGTGTCTCACCTTGTAGAGGGAATGTCCCTCAAACATGTGGAACCGGCCCTGCATGCACACGCAGGACTTCCCTCTGAGGACCCCGAACACCAGCCGCCCGGCATGGCCTGGTGCTGCCAAGCCACAGAGACAAACACATATAACGCAGAGTCACCATCCAACATTACCAAAGACAGCCTCTATCAGTACTATATCAATATTGATGGGGTGGAGTGGGATGGAGGGTCACTAGTTCAAATTCCATGGCTGGGGGAGTGATGCCACTGCTGGGCACCCAGTTGCTTCATGGGTGCAGACTGAACATGCTCTCTGAACCAGAAACACTGCTCTCACCTGTATGTCTATGTGGCTCATGGAGAGCAAGACTGGATATGCAATTTCCCAGTGGGTATGAATATCGGATGACTATTGCTACTCATTCTGGAATACTTATAATGAGGTGACCTATGACGACCTACAGCACATAGAGTCAAGCTGGCTTATCATCCATATACAGGTATATGAAGTATACTATACTAACATATAGTATGCAGTACAGATACTGGGCAGAGATGCTACTGTATGCTACAGTGCTGCTAAGCACCCTGAGAACTCGATGCCATCTCCCCTGAAGGCAGCAATGTCACAGGCTTCGTGTGTCATGTGCTTCACAAGTGCTGCACCAGCATCATTGCAGAATAGAGACCTGACCTGTACAGTGAGGGAAGCCGGGGATGTCCGAGTAGGGGAAGGCGTCCTGGCTCTCCAGCGCGTTCGCCAAGTGTCCCAATCCTGAGCCGCATATGATGGCCACTTTGGGACGGTGCTTTGTGCGCGACTGCAGCCAGTCAGCAGAATTCTTGTAGTTGTCATAGCTGCGAGGTGGCGTATATATTCACAGAGCGTATTGCAAAACAACACAAAACAGCACATCGTGCAGAAGACGCTTCTCGTCTCCGGAACATCCTCATTGTTATGTTTATTGAGCCATAATTAACATCCAGACACAGTTTCGATCGCCAGTACTCTGTGTCACTGTGTCGTGCAGCACCAGTGTCAGGCAAACTGTTACATTCTTTGAGATATTTGTCTCGGCGTGGCCTGACAGCTCCAGCAATGTGCGCTTGATTCCACTGCATTAGTCCCTGGCTTCTCCAGTCTCCTCCCCCATTCCAAACACATTTGAATTAGCTTCTTTAAATTGTCTGTGGTGTGTGAGTATGTGCCCTGTGACGGACTGGCGTCCCATCCTGAGTGAGCCCTGTGCCTCAAGGAACAGATTCCAGGGACAGACTGTATTAAAATGGGGCTGTGGATGATGGATGGACAATCTGTAATGTGGATTTTAGAAGCAGAAAGACTATATAAAGTAAGCAAAACATTTCTCTGATACTCATAGGAGATGCAGATCAGAAAAGATGTTAGGCAATGAGTTACGCAGTCCAGCTATATAGTACAGATCATGTAAATATGGTTAATAAATGTGTTTATTTGTACTTGCGTGTTGAAATACAGTACTGTGTCAAAGTGTTAGACAGTCTAAGAAAATTATGTTCAAATGATCTTCAGCCAATGGAGGACATTCTTGTCTTTGTTGTGTTACTCGTAATTTTCATATGTTCTAATATTAAATTGTGTACACTTGGTACCCAGATAAACAGCTTTAAACATTTCTTTTGACTGCCTAAGACTTTTGCACAGTACTGTACATGCAAGACACCTGTAATAATAGCTATGAGAGGATACATAATGAATTTTCTCCTGGGATAATTAAAGTACACCTTATCTACGTTAACAGCCCTTGTGTGTCAATAGTACCTTTTTCTGAAAGATTACTCATCTACTTTAAGTTTGCTAGCTGTTGACAAGGACTAACTAGTGTACAGAAATGTATCTGTTCTTGGAATACTGTCAATATTTCATATTTTGCTGATGGGAACAACCGTTAATTTTAAACCTTAATATAACAAACATAAAATGTATAAAACACAACAGACATAAAAAAATTAACAAGGACTTTAACCCTAAGCCCAGACAAATTATATGGGATTATTTCACCTTTATGTTAGTACCTGACTTGGAACTGACACAATGAAAGCACAAAGGTTACGCCCCCACCAAACAAAAAATGGCTTACCAGATTTGATCTTGCATTCTGAAGGGTCACAATTTTTCTTTTCAATTACTAAAATGCTAATGCTTTGCTGCAAACTGTATAATTACAACAGTATTTGTAGGAAGGCAGCATGGACTTAGTTAACTGTAAGTCACTGCAGGTTGTAAACAGAATATGTCGGTATAGGGAAGAGATAGGTAATAAATATGTCCTTTGCACTTGAAATCTGATTGGCCACATTTTTTTGGATACAAGCCAGAGTGACAAATAGAATTCATCCTAGTGGGAGTGTGGAGGGTGTGTGTATCAGGTCTTGTTTGTGTGTGCGTGTGTGTGTGGATTACGTTTATATTACATTGTGGGGACCAAATATAATAAAAACCTGTTATTTTGATGTTGTGGGGACCATTTTTCAGGTCCCCACAAAAATATATGAATGCAATAAAAAAAAAAAAACTAAAATAGCCAAAAGTCTAATATTTTGTTTGGTTACTTAGGCTTAAGGTTAGGGTTTGGTACGAGTTAAGGAGGCCATGTTGGGATTAGAGTTTTCCCCATAGAAATGAATGGAGAGTGCCCACAAAGATATAATTACAAACCTGTGTGTGTAATCTACATTGTATATATATATTTCTACATTGTGTGTGTGTGTGTGTGTGTGTGTACACACAGAGATAATACTCTCCATTCAGAGATAATACTCTTCACAACTGTATTTGCAAAGTATTATTCAAATACAAAAACAGAGTTTATGAATGGATGTTTTAATGTTTGAGAAGCAAGTTTATTAAAATACAGTGAAATGCCAGTTTTTGCTGATGTACTGTGGTTATAAGACAGTTAAATTAAGTTACATAACTACCTGTTTAAGTATATGTGAGCAATGACCGAAAGCTTTATGTCATTCATTGTGAAATTCTCATGGACACTTGGCAATCAGAACCATGTGGGTCCAGGTGAGGTAAATGGCTACAGAAGCTGTTTCTAAGCGTGCATCAGTGTCAAATGCACGTGGTGCTACCAGGTGATGAATATTTCCAGTCATTCTGGTTTTGTGTTCTTAAGAATGTGACGATTATAAAATATCAATCATTACAGTTATATGTAAAAAATGTTTATGGGCATTACTACATAATGGTGATAGTTCTGATAGAATTACTGTATCATCATGTTGTTCTTGGTCAGCAGTGTCAACAGTTCTGTAACTAATTAGATCAGATTCTGTAATCATTGTTAGATTATTTCAATCAGAGAGTCTTCTTTAGTCTGACAATTATCATGCCACCAATTTTTTTCCCTTATGTTCCTATAAAAACTCCACCCACAAAAAAAGATAATAAATGTTGCTACACATTGTTTTCAACACAGAGTGACTTACCATTCCCTCACTGCCAAATAGAAAGCATTTCACAGGACATAATCAACTGAGTTTAAAAGGAGTTATAAGACTTAATTATACGACAGTGGAATTCGTAGTGAAGCTGTGTTTTCCAGAGGGAAAAAACTATGTTTCGCCACTTCTAAAGGCATTCATACCCATTAAGGGTTTTCTTATTTGACAGCTTTGAACCAGGGAACCCCACATAAAGATAGACCAGAGCTACTTATGATCACATTCGTAACTAAGCATGGGGGGGGGGGGGTCACCCTGGGATATTTTTGCTCCTTTAGTATTTTTCACATTCTGATAAGGAAACCTATCTACAGAGCCGCTTCGCCTCCTCTGCAGACCCCCAGCTGGAAAACTCCAACCCTAAGACAAGAGTTTCAAAGAGCAGCTCTGGGAAAGGGCTGCTGCAGTGCCTCACTGGGTGGCTTTGGTTGTTGCAGTGCCTCACTGGGTGGCTTTGGTTGTTGCAGTGCCTCACTGGGTGGCTTTGGTTATTGCAGTGCTTCACTGGGTGCCTTTGGTTGTTGCAGTGCCTCACTGGGTGGCTTTGGTTGTTGCAGTGCTTCACTGGGTAGCTTTGGTTGTTGCAGTGCCTCACTGGGTGGCAACGGCTCCAGCAGTATCTTACTGGGTGGCAAAGGCTGCTGCAGTGTCTCACCTGCTGCAAGCAAGGGTTCATCTTTCCACTTTGTTGAATTAGTACCCATAATGAGCAGCCTGTGACGGATTAGTATCATGTCCAAGGGTGAACCTGGTTTTGTGCCCCTTGCTTCCTGGGATAGGCTCCAGGGTCACCATAACCCTGCTTTGGATACGTATTTATGGGAAACTGGATGGCAAATTCTCAAAGCTTTCATTTTGTCTCCGAACTAAGTCATTTTTCCAGAAGCTTGCTGTTGAGTAGCCTGTTGATTTGGACAAGACCGCTTCTGAGGTAGAGTAATAAGTTGAAAGTGTCATGAAAAATCCCCTTTTCTTAGTCGCCGGTAATCCGCTGCACGAGGGCCGTGTGAGCACGTGTATGTCTGTCAGCTGCCTCTGTCCGCTCTCCCAACCATGTCAGGTGACCAGCAGCACCACACAGCACCACTCTTCATAACTGCCTTTTTTTTCTCCTCCACAAGAGTCGCCACCACATGGCATTGCTCTGCGATGCGAATAAGCTTTCTGACCCCTAAAGACTATAACATATAGTACAGTGTTGCCGATAACACTACTTATTGTAATTGTGATTTACTTGGATTGTGATTTACTATGACAAACAGTTCATGACAGCTGTAATCTTAAAATGTATTTTGGAACAAGTGCTGTGTTGGTGAAATTAAATAATACTTAAATAGTGTTCTTGAATATTTAATGTTCTTGCATGCCATAAATGGCATCACAATAGGCTGTGTATGCTTTAGATTTAAAAACACACTTTCCCAATAAATTCTACTAGAGAGACCTCTTAAGGGTGTAGTTAATTCTGATTACATTCGTACTCTTTTGGGTGCTACTGTGCCGTTTGTGAATCATGAAGCGCTTCCTCTGGCTCCTCTGGTTTCCTCCCACAGCTAAAAACATGCCGCAAAACAGCATGTCAGCTCAGTATCTGGCCTTAATTAAATGCCTTTGCTTCTGACTGGGATGCTCCCAGCCCTGGCTTCTCATGACTCTGTACTGGAAAAGAGGTTGAAGAATGAATGGATGGACTTCTTAAGGAACACAGCCCCATTAAAAGTAGCTATAATGTTTTTTTTTATTATCTTGGAAAATGCAGACCGTCTGTTTTGTATGCCTACTTGGGTATTGGTAAGGGGCTGAAATGCACAGATGGTGTGTTCCAGTTCCCCGCTGGACCCTAATGCTGTTACTTTGGGTCATGTGCATGAGATACTTTCATTGAAACATCCTAAGTAGCAGCGGTCTTTCGTGCGCTTGCCTCCTGGGCCTCTGTTTGTGCTCTTCCCTCCACCCAGGAAAGTGTAGGTATGAGGCACTCATCCTCCACCCAGGAAGGCATCTGCCTCAGTTAAGAGGCCCTCGTCTTCCACCCGGGAAGGTGTCTGCCTAAGTTAAGAGGCCCTCGTCTTCCACCTGGGAAGGTGTCTGCCTCAAGTAGGTGGCCCTCACCCTCCACCCAGGATGGCATCTATCTGAGGTAGGAGGCACTCATCCTCCATTCTGGGAAAAGCATCTGCCTCAATTAAGAGGCCCTGTTCCACCTGGGAAGGTGTCGGCCTTGCCTCAGGTAGGAGGCCCTCGTCCTCCACTCGGGAAGGTGTCTGCCTCTGCTAGGAGGCTGTCATTCTCCACCCAGGAAGGTGTTTGCCTCACAGAGGGGGTCCTCATCCTCCACCTGGGAAGGTGTCTGCCTCGTGTCTGCCTCAGATCGGAGACCCTTATCCTCCACCCAGGAAGAAGTCTGCCTTGCCTCAGGTAGGAGACCTGGGGCCTCATGTACAGTATAACGACGTGCGTAGAATTCACACTAAAACATGGCGTACGGACAAAACTAGGAATGTGCGTAAGCAAGAAAAAATCTAGATGCATAAAACTTTGCGTAAGCACAGATCTACGCACATTCCCTTTATAAATCCCAATGAGCGCAAAATTTTACGTACGTGAACGAGCCCACAGCCACCCCCCTCGACCCGCCCATAATTATGTATATTGGCTTATGTAAATCTGTATAAATGCCCGCTTTGTTCTATGTTTTTCTTAAACAACAATGGATAAACCATGAGGAAAAAAGAAGTATTTCAGCGGGTGCAAAGTGGAGGTCATGTTAACAGAAATCGAGAAAAGAAAAGTGATATTATTTGGTGGTATAAGTGGCATCAGCAATAAACGAAGGTTGACGGAGTGGCACAGCGTGGCGGAGTCAGTTAAAAGTGTTGGTTCCGAAATTTGCACGGTGGCCAAAATTAAAAAGAAGTGGTAGGACATTAAAATCGACGTGAAAAAACGAGCGGCCGCTCACTGTAAGAGTCTTAACAGCACAGGCGGAGGTAGCGGAATTCCCGGTCTCACACCCTTTGAGCAACGAGTTGCTGCGTTGATTGGGGACACACTTTTATCGGGTGAGGGGGATGCCGATGTCATCGCGGGTGAGTTTTTCTCGTACCATACTTGTTTGAATTACTTGCATGTTTATGAATAACACGTAGGGCGCAGATGCGGTGTTACTTTCGTTTATTCTGTTTGTTTATTCTTACAGACAATAGTACAAGAGGTGCCCCCAGTGCATTAATAGAGTACATTAATAGAGTGAAAGTGCTTTCTATTTACATAAGCAAATTCGTTCTCTGAAGGTGACTTAATAGCAATGTGCGCGCAGTCGATAGCTTTGACTACGTTGGGAAAACCGGACATCGCTGCAAATTGCGCTTTAATATTTGCCTGTTCAACCACAGTGCAAGGAAATTTTATATATCTGGGTGACAAGCGGATTATGCCGTCCCATACAGCTGGCATGGCGCGACTCAGTGTCGACTGAGAAATACCCGATCGGTCCGCAAGTTCTCGCTGAAAAGCACCTGTGGCTAAGAACCTGCGAGTGGACAGA